TAATAATAATAATAATAATAATAATAATAATAATAATAATAATAATAATAATAATAATACTAACAACAATAATAAAGATACAAGGCCTTCTTTATTGACGAGTCATGAGAATGGTAATAATAATAATACTTGACTCACTTTACCACCCTTCTTCCTTCGCATAGCACCCAAAAGCGCAACAATTTCCTTCAGTTCCTCACTCATACCAAGAAAACGTTTCGCACGACCGAAGTAGTGTATTCGAGTGAAATAGGCCTTGAGGTGAGTGGATGCCAGATCAACACACATCGTCACCACAGACAAACCTTCAGTACATAATCACTGCTTGCTTGATGACGCCCGTTATGCCACAAAAAGCGAACAACTACATTTTCAGCTGTTCTATTTCCATTACGAGCTGATAATCACCAATTGTAAATTATTGCGCTAGCATTAGCAATTATTGAGCTGCTCTTAATTTGGCAGCACAAAACCGTCAGTGAAGTGATAATAGGATTATAACGAACCAACGATAACGAACGCAACAATAAGTGACAAGAAAATATAGTCCTTCACGACAATATCGCCCAATCCAACCGTAACAATGAGGTTAAAACCGAAATGAAAGGCGTGTATGAATGACCACGAACGTTCCCAGTTGATGAACATCGCTGAGCCCATCGAGCAATACAAGCAAATACACGACACGTACGCACCTTAAACTCAAAACTCAAACATTTCAGCTTTCACATATCCAATCGCCAATTACTAACAGCTCAATAGCACTCAGCTCAGCCATCAATAGCACTACTCACCAATAGGGAACCACAATTTTTCGTCGGTACCATCGATACCGAGCATTTCCATTGTTTCGGATTGTCCATTCGACGACTGCATTGACTTTCGTCTCGCGTAACGACGTCGACAGCAAACTTGCTGTGAATAATCATCAGTTATGTATATCAAATGCACACACCCAAACTACAGCCAACAAACCTTAATCTTGCGAACCATACGGTTCCAGTTCGAAACAAATCTGAGCAGTGTTTCAGAGAGGAATTTGCCAATATCGGCAGCTGTGATGAACATCAACGGAATACCGACCAACGCGAACGCAACCGCAAACACTTTGCCGAGATCAGTGTCCACAGACACCTCTCCGTAACCTCGAATACATCCACCATTACTATCACACTAATATGCTTATTTCTAATCGCTACATCCTCACGCAATTATAAGTCGACACTAGTTCTCGGCCCTGCTCTCATCAGCTGCATCTTGCAGCACTATAGTTTTGCTGCAGTTCCACATAACTCTGCTCATAAATATTCACCGTCTACATACAAATGCCATTCATCTACAAACTCAGCGCCACCATTTCACTATTTCTTATCACAACTTCACATAGATATATCTTCACAAATCTATCAATCCATTACATTAACTACTCAATATCTTCGTTGGAGGTCTTCGACGAATAATTTAATCATCATCATCATCATCATCATCATCATCATCATCATCACTACATCTCACAAGCATCACCCAACTTCAATTCTATTCATCAATTGCCATCATTCATATGAACACTATCTATTTCTCTTCTTCTGTATTCATCCATCCACAACTACAGTCCAAACAACCAATCGCTATCAACCACACCACTTATCGAGCCACTATTCACTCGTCAAGTATTATTCACTACGGTAGGTAGGTAGGTAGTTCATCTCAAATATCACAACGCAATGGCCAATCAACACCTTACAACTACCCTTCACTATCTCATACGGCATGTTTGCGTGAATATCTAAATTGCTTGCAAATAATATTCACAAGAAATATCAACAACTCAAACATCAATCATCAATACAAATGAATCAATGATAAAAACTACATGATCTTCATTCAGAGTTGACAATTGATTATGTTATAATAATAATAATAATAATAATAATAATAATAATCATAATAATAATAATAATCTTCTATCATTAAAAGCTCACCACATGTAGTAAGAACAGTGAGCACATAGAGCAAGGCAGTAGGAAATGTCCATTTATTATGCATATTCTCGAGGTCATCCGGCCTGTTCAGTTCTTTACGGATCGGCCTTCGATCATCAACCGTCTCGGCCACTGACACCATATATTCCCTTCAGTAGAATTCACTATGGCATTCTCGAATATCAATAACAAAGGGAGGGAGGTTCAGTACGCGTATTTAGATGGCTTTTTTTGAAGTGCATTCATACATAGTATAAAGACACTCAAAGAATAAGTGAGCTGGCAATGAGTTGCGATCAATCAATCAATCAATCAATCAATCAATCGTGTGACTGTTTATGCAGCAAGCAATTAATTGAATCCGATCACATCAGTGACTGCTGCTGCAGTATCGAAGCACTATGAACAGAGAAGTGCATGGAAGGCAATGATCTGAACCTGAATTTATTCGTCCACTCAGCACGACTCACAGCACGCACACCCGTTTGCGCGTCGTTCAGTATTCGCCAACTGTCAGCACTAAAATTGGTCATCATATTGGTGAGGCGTACCAATTTCCTTGAGCGTGCCATTAACTCGGTCCTCGTCTCAAGCAACATCAAGATCCAAGCGCCTAAGCATAGATAGCCAATCAAAACGGCCACCAGGATGACGTGAGGGGTTAAAATCTTCACATACTGAAAAACGATTCACATACTTACTCATCGCATCGAACATGTTATTCATTCATCTACTCTATAAAAATAAACAATACCCCATTTTTATGTACACCAATCAAATGCACCAATCAAATTTAGGCTTATGAACTGATCAAACTGCCTGCTCAACTTTTAGCGTTCATATTATCACTGATCAATATCAAGCAGCCAATTGATGATGCAGCACGCAGCACAACAATTATGATTATTATTGCTATGCAAATACATATACACACTTGATTTATTTATTTATTTATTGCCACTGCACTCTTTTTTGCCGTTCTTCCAAAAATGTCTAAGAAAAAGGAACAATGCAACGAAGGAATAATCCAAGCAAACTTCATGAAGCCACTGTTGCCGCCGGCACAGCACAGCAGCAACAGTGGTGGTTTCATGCATCAAGCACGCAGAAGACAGCTGTTATGCGCTTCAAATAGAGCAAATTCGGTCTGATATGATATACCCCAGGGATGATCATATAGTATCAGTTGGCTTATCAAAGTACAACAACGTAATCTACGTGTTCAGATGCTGCTGCTGCTGGTGCTGTTCTGTTGCTCTTGCAGTTGCTCACACAAATGAATCAATGCCACAAAAAAAGATCAGAATCGATCAATCAAAATCACGCAATTTCTAAATCACTGATAACCACCAGAATATGATCACCGTAAAGTAAATATGATCATCCTGCAGTAAAGGTTCACTATTCACAGATACAGACAGACACATGATGAGGAATTAATTCATTGATATGATCAGTTGCAAATGATACGAATGTACTTAGTTGTGATCTGTGATGATGACCAAATACTCGATTCAAGCAGCAAAAATCTATCGATTTAATCACTAAAATTCAATGAATAATAGAGATCACCTTGATTGTTTGCTGCGGACAATTTTTTGGCACTTTTGCCTCTTGATCTTCTTTCATTGTGTCCGTTATAATCGTAGCACCATCGTCTGCATCCAATAGTGCCGACTGTGAAGTTAAAGGCACACCGTCCCATCTTGCTGTTACGTGATCTGAATTTTGATCAAATCAAATTTGATCACTGATTATTGATTGTGATCACAGTTAGACAAATGCTAGATTGACAGACAGCAGATCAGGCAGGCGGCATTTAATTTAGTAGGGGATCGAACGGGCAAATAGTGAATGGAACAACCCAGAGTTGTGCACAAAAGCCACTAAAGGTTTGACGAGCTGTTTTGGCGCTAGCTGCTTTAGTGCTGCTATTCCTCGTAAGCACTTAATAATGATCACATCTAATCAGATAGATAATTTTAGCAACAACTATATCAACTGATCATCAAAACGAGTAGTCAATCGTTACACAGCAGCAATCTTAAAACCCAAATCAAGAATGAATGTTAAACATTTACGTAAGGTGTTATGCACCCACATTTGTGCAAATCAGCGGTAAGGAGATTGCATGAACGAATTATCTTTTGTGGATAGAATACAATTTGATGATTATTCAGAGTGCGTATTCACAGTTGAAACATTACTGATATTGACGGATTTGTTTTTATTATGCAGATAGACAGAAGGGACGACCGGGGGGGGGACGGGGGACGGGGGCAATGGCGGCAACGGTTCGATCGGCCACAGACGGTCGAAGGGCTGGCTCGATAGAGGAAGGCTTAGGCTTCGGATACTAGAAGCACTACTAGTCATTAAGATGATAAATGAATATCGAAACATCACGACAACAATAACAATGAATAAATGTCAACTCAATAATCAAATAACAAACGAACAACAACAACAACAACTACTACTACTACAATGCAGCAGCACAACTAATAACTGATCTAAGGCAATCAATCCAGAGAGTGACTACTGCCTACAACTTAAATTTCACACAAACACAGTCGCCATCGGTCCTTTCTCTCAACTTCAACAGATGAAGTTCACGTCGACAATTTACAATGTATTGTTCATTAATTTGAAAAAAACCAACGATCAGATCACCAACAGCAGCAATCCAATCGATCAACGATCAACGATGTTCACTGAACAATGCGATGTCGTAGTCAGTCTTTCTTTTGGCTACTTATTCATTTCATTTCAGTCTAATCTATCATCAAATCAAGCGATTAACATAAGCCTAAGCAAAAAACAAACAACAACAACAACAACCACACCAATTACATCCTCTATCATGCAATCACATCATATCGCTGCCTGCCTGCCTGCCTGCCTGCCGTTATCCTCCCAATGGAATACAATTATCGCACAACAAACAATACATCTATTTGTTACATTTTCATGATGATTTGTTGCTCGATAAATAAATACACACAAACACGGCCGCTAGTCGTGACTTATGATTGCTATGTATCGCAGCGCTATTGCCCAATTCCAATCGCTTTCTCCAGGCGTTCTTCAATGATTCACTGACACTTTTCCATGGGAACAATCTCGGAACGAATCAGTAAAATCGATTGCAGCGGCGCTACTCAAGAATGCACCACGAGAATGCTATTAATAACATATGGATGGATGCAGGAGACGACCGGGGGGGGGGGGGTGGAGAAATCGTCATTGAATATAGGAAAAGTTTTTCTTAAAACGAAATCTCAACGAAAACAAACATACAAAAACAATCGTCATCGCTAAGGATATTATGTATGTATGGCAAATAAAAACTTAAAAGACCCGTGCTAGTTTTGCCGGCGAAAAACACCGATGTTGAATCGTATAGACTTGGAGAGATGCCGCTAATGGCCGCTGCAGCAGCCTCAACTGCCGATTTACCAGGTGCTGAAATTTCATCTGTTTTCATTACCATCACTACTACAACTAGCACTAGTGCTGCTTTTCATTCGATTATTCTCAAGAATCACAAAACTTTTTCACGATCCCTTGCAATCGCCACTCTCCTCAACAAATCTTCACACACACAATACTCCTCATACCATACCATTCACGCACTAATCTGCATAACACTCTCCATTTTTTATTCATACCTTACAGAATGATTGTCTTAATAAGCTGCTCATCAGTACTGTGAATGGTATTTGTTGTGGGCAGATCACCCTCAAAATCACTCACTACATACCAATGAACCTCCCTCCGTATCATCGCAGCACTCACAAACGCTTGATTCTTTCCTAAAACAGTTCATGATCATCATAAATTCTAGGTGGTGGTGGGTGGCTGGGTGGTCCATCTCGTTTGCTCAATTCATTCATTCAATTAGATCACTATTCACCACTCATTCTTCATACATCTTTTAAAATTGCAACTTTATCACTACGAAACCAACTACCAGCGGCTGGTCTGGTGGCTACCAAAAAAAAATACCGCCAACTCGAGACAGTCAGTCAAGCCTTCGACCGTTCGGCTTAGATTTCGCCTCAATATTACACTCTTTTATGCAGGCAGCATTGCAAGGAGAATGTAAAAAAGATACGGCTAGCTGTAGCAAATGACCAGTGGTCATCACTGGTCATTTATTGTAGACTAATGACTGATCAACTTAACAATACATTAGTAATGAACATTAGCTGTTGGCTCTAACACAGCCAGCACAGAATGAACTACTCACACATCGAAAATATACTCAAGCATTGCTCAAACACACACACAAATACACTGATATCACATGATGACTGCGTATAAACTTGTAAAAGTTCAGCTTATTAGACAGCAAACAATCAATTAATCATTTCGCTTGAAATTGATACAATCGGAATGCTGCTGCTGCTGTTGCCGCTGCCTGTGGAATGCAAACAGACCGCAACATTAGACATCACTACTGCCTGCTGCTACTGCTACTGCTGCTAAATTCAACGAGTTTTATTCCTGTTCAGTTAGCTTAACCCAACTTTTGGCTTAGACTCGAATGCAAACTTGCATTGTGTTACTGCTTCACCTTATATTGCCCAACCAACCAACCAACCAACCAAACAAACAAATAAATAAGTAGCGATGACAGAAGACAAAAAAATGTCAGCACACACACACACACACATACGAATGTCGTTTAAATACTATAATATGGAATAAAACTTGATTACACTACGAGCACTCCTCAAGAGACGAGAATAAAATAAATGAAGAGTGAATGTTTGATTTAACAATCATAGAATATTGATACAGATACACGCTGCATGCACAACATATTATTTTCACGCCAAAACAAAGTGCTACTGCTGCTGCTGCTGTCTGTATTCAGATGGCCAAGCAACATTGCATTCACTATCAGACATTTTCATATTTCAATTCTAGACAAATTCGATCTGGGAATACACCACCACAATAACTCTCGAGAACACAACTAACAGCCGAGTAAACGAAACAGCCAACTCACAAATTCACTAAACGCCTCTTAAGAGTAAAATTTCATTTTCTTCTTCATGCTCATATAACTAGCATCATTTTATCGCTTCCAAACAATACACATTTATTAATAATAATAATAATAACACTAGAAAAGTAATGAGTAATACTGAAACAAATAATTTTTGTTATTGCTGCAATGTGTCAACAACGTTAACGCAATAGTAACTAGTAACCAACTGAAACTATATCTACTGATGCAGTACGCCAACAATAAAAATCGATCTATAAACAACACACGTGATTGATAGCTAACCAAAAACTGCAATTGTTTACCAATCAAATCATTTGGGCAATCAACTCAACCGGAAAATGAATCAATGCGTTCATATAATTAGAATAAGATTATTCATATAACTGTTTAATATTGTAATACTTTCCTCTTTGCTATAGGCAAGTGAGCTACGATAGACTTATTCGTGTGTATCAGATTATTGCGTTTGTCACGATTGGATGGTTGATTCAGTGTGAACGTATGGAAGATAGTAGCAAAGTCAAGATCAGAGGAGGACGACTACAGTCTAGAGTTTAGAGATCAGATGAAAATTGAATCAATCAACTAAAGCAGCACCTATAACAATACGACCGTCGTCTTGGATGGAGATTGTTGGACGTCTCAGAAAGACTTTACTAGTGCGACTGGCGCGTCTAGACGTGTCGATGATGTTCGATGAGAATATGTGCGGTGAGGTTGGCGAGGTGATCGCCGGAATTTCCACACTTAAGCCAGCAGTGGTTGCTGCAAGGTCTGGAAGAGCAGCCGCAGCCGCAGCCGCCACATCGTCGTCATCGGTTCGTGCCGCAGTGGTTTGCGCAGCGAAACGTGTCAACAGCTCAGCGATCTGACTCGACAAGCGACTCTCCACTTGTAGGGCTTGTTGTTGTTGGCGGAGCGATAGGGCTCGCGGATGTGACGAATAAAAAAACATTGGGCCAGAGCTGCTGATAACTACATCAAGCGATAAATATGGATGGCGGGCAGTGAATACACGAATAATACACCCAATGAATCACCCAACGAATGCACTATTCAAAAAACGGGTATTCCCCAGGTGACAACAATTATACTCATAGTAATAATTACACGAATTGAGTGATAGTCAAGTGACAGATTATTCTATTAAGTGCACGCGGCAGACCGAAACGGATTGGGGTTGGGCGTGAACCGAGCGTTGAGACGGTTTTAGGGCTGCTTGCTTGATGGCTAACAGTTCAAGAGAACATTGCTGAGTACTGAATAATCGTTTGAATGCTGATAACTAGCTATCATTTGATGATGATGAGTTAGAGTAAGCAACACGGCCAATAGTAGTAGCAGTAGTCACAGAGAAGACAGCCACAGATCAACAACACAAACTGATAACGATGACCAATAGGCCAGAGGAGCTTGGCCAGGCCAGATCAGAAGATACCAACAAGCCAGAATGTGCATGAATGAAGATGATAGAGGATAGAATCCATCCAATCCGACCCAACCCAATCCTCTAGTCCAATCCAACAGCCAACCAACCAAGTGGCTAGCCTAAGTCTAAACCTAAACTAGCCATCCAAAAAACACTAACTAACAACTCTATATATCTATACACATATCCATTTATTTAGCTAGCTATCTAGCTCGCTATTCATCTGGAATATCTTTATCTTATCTCCACTTTCTAATGCTACTATTACTAGTCATATCTGTGACGACGGTGATGTTAACAGAACAGACACAAAGCAAGCAGTAAGTTTTGCTAGGTTATCCACTCGGTTACTTCAATCTTATATCAATCCATCCATGCATGCTTCATGCATCATCCACCCAAACAACAAACTATTCATCCATCTTACTCAAATTAAATGTGTGCTGCATGACGACGGTCAATTATATTTATGTGCATCTATCTATATCTAGAAGCATGAATCACTATAAATAGATATCTGTATAAATATGAGTTCTTCAAGCGGGTATGCCAGCCACTTCAAGCGGGTGGAGTGTGAGAGTGCTGCAATCAGGGAGAGTGAGGACTACGAGAACGGCTCCGAGCACGGACATTTTTAAAATTTTCCGGCAAAAAGATACGACGACGAGCAATAAGGGCTGAGAAGTAGCGATTGCTTGTTATGGATGGATGATGCCTAGGTGATACAAACAAGAACAAATAAAAAGTGACACTTTAACTTGCAGTCACTCATCAAAAGCTCAAGGGAAAAACAATGTTCGCAGTAGCATCTTCTACCTTAGAAGTAGCAGTACAACGCTTCTGCATCCACCAAGTGAATTCTAAACGCACGCACCCACTCTCTTGATTACCATTCATCATACCACTTTTGTGGCTCATAACGATGCTATACGCATACTTTTTTGCAACAGTCACAAACGAATCTCGACAAACTCATCTTCAAGCGCCCTCTCGTTTAATAATATTAAGACACTCGAATACTTCAAATGCATCAACCAATCAATGAATCTACTCACTCATATCTATCTATCTATCTATCCACTCAAATATAATCAACAAAAATAAACCAAATACAAACTGAACGCAACGCAACGCAACTAAATAATATACCACCAAAAAAAAAACCGTCCAAGTCAAACTTACTACAATTACTTATACTACTATTACTAAACTTGTCACAATATAAGATCAAATAAGTAGTCCAACAAAACATAGCACTATAACACCGACCGACCGATCAGTTTCTTGCACAATTTCAAGCCTTCAAGCGATTATTCAATTAAATCATCACTAATGAACAAGGTAAATGACTACTGACTGAACACAAAATGACGATTGCCTTATAGATGATTATGATTGAAAACTATCAGCTTTCAGATATTGTAGATGCATGCTTGTTATGCCTCTCGTTTCAAGCCATCTACTTCAAGTGAAAAAGAAAAACAAAAAATAACAATACCAACAACAACAACAACTTTTAATTCGTGCTCTCATTCCATCCATATATCTCTCTCTACCCACCCATCCATCCTTACATCCAAACCTCGATCACTTCTATAATACATCATTTAAGACTATTGATCACGAACAAATCAAACAAGTGCTCGTCTTACTTAATCATCATGTAAACATGATCCATGTCCAATTGCTCAGCAGGTTAGCTGCTGCCTTAGTGCCTGCTTGCCTGCCTGTTTGCAGTTCATTATAAACAAATCTCATACGGGCACGGCTGCTGCTGCTGCTGGATACTAACAAACCAAACCAAACAAAACACATGTTGGGGCCTGATGAATGACGACTAACTGATTTGACTTGTCACCAGCATCTAGCTACCTATTGCGGTCACTTATTCACTGATCTATTGCTGGCTATTACTCTCATTGAAGCGAATCGATCAAACAATCAAAACTCAGAGTATCGATCATATTACTTGCGCATGCTCACACAGATATTTATCTATTTATTTATTTATTTATAAGCAACTACTCACTCGACTGGACTCGTCTAAAACCAGACAAAACAAATTAACTCAAATTGAGTGTCCAAAAAATCAAGCAACTGAACACACCATCAAAGGACGACGTACACACTTAAAGAGACTGCAGCAGCAGCAGCATACATAAATAATATCACTTGAGTATCCAAAAAAAGGGTACTGCTATGATACAGTCAGCAACTTTATGGTCATTCTTACGCGCTCATCCTCATCCTTTCGGCAGCACTTTCATTCATTCATATCTAGTGATCCACTTGATTTTTATTAAGCCAGTGCCACTTAATTCTTAATTCTTTAAGCCCGATTCCTCTCATTGCATTTCATTAACCCAATGCGTCGGTCTGATCGCACTTTTTTGCTCACATTTTTACAGTTTCTTAAGTAGTCTTATTAATTCATGTGTAATATACTCTCGTTGAATCTCACTTACATTCTCACGAAAACATTCCACTCTCAACAAATAAATTATACGTACATGTACTTGAACATAATATTATGCGCATGCCTCGTTAGCAGCCTAATTATCTCTTAGCAGCTGCATCATACATCCTCCATAATACATACCACCTTGCACATTCATAATAGCATTCAGTATTTACCTGAATTAACAAACAACAATACATGATACCATTTTGTCAAAATGAGTAAGCACCCCCTTGAGGAGCATCAAAAATTCATTCGATTGCTGCGTTCATACTTTACACTTCCTTCCTGCCTATCTGACAGCAATATCGTTTTAATGCCCCTTAGACAATAACTTATTATTATGGTGATGAGCACTTGCTTTGCTTCATATTATGAGAACATAACCTATTGAAATGCTTCAAACAATCTATCCATCATGCACCGGTCTGAAATTACTTCTTAATTCTTTTGGGAACAATTCTAGAAAAAGAGAACATCGTTTATTCTACTCATTTCATTTCCTTGTAAGTGTCACACTACTTTTTAACTTTAACTTATTCCACTGAATCTCACACCGATCACACTTACAATTTCTTATCACACAACAAACCCACAAACACAATAACCACTCAATCATGTCTAAGTCAACTCATAAAAACTTTGAACCTATCCATAAGCATACCATTATTTCTATTACTAATCAACTGACCAACTATCGCTTTCTATTCAAATGATTTTAGACAAAATTTTCAGATGTTTATACATTTAAATCAAATCTCTTCGATCAACTATACGAATGTCAAAAGATAAAACTCGTAGTAAACATCCAATTATGAGGCCATAAGACGGTGGCAGCCAAACAAATAATCAAACAAACAAACAAGTAAGTAAGTCAGTAAATAAGTAAGTAAGTGAATAAGTAATTTGCTGTTTAAATCAAGCACTTTTTGAATTCATTCCATAATCAGATACATACATAAGCTGCTTCCTATATGCTTGAACACACTAAAATAAGACGACAGTTAATTGACTAATGAAGAGTGTATAGAGCAGCATGCATGCATATAAAACAGGAAGACATGATCAAACAGAACAATACGCATTTAAATCAGATGGCTGCCTGCGTGAACGCATCAAATCAGAGGCAAGAAACGATGCCGGAAACGATACACTTGCACTCTCGAACCTTATTCATAGAACCAACAACAATATATCACAATCATTTATAATATTTCAGCAGCAGCAGCCATACTAGTATTATTCTTATATTGTTATATGATTATTACTTATATACCATTACTTATATACTCGTTACTAAACAATCCGAGTGATTATTCTTCCTAACAGTTCCACGAAATAAAATCCACCTGTATGTGAATGCAGTAAATAAGACTGTCACACACTAGCATTGTCATTTACGCTCGAGCCAAGCTGTGATTCGCACTCTCTAGTTCTACAGATACGGACAGACAAGACGTTCAAATGCATTTGGTACTGTAATACTCTATTGAAGAGCAAAATATCAAGGTCAGTTCATCCATCATCATCACATTGAAGTACTGAAGACAGCAGCAGTTCACTCGAATGAAGAAGCAATCAGCAAATAAAAAAGAAAATAAATGACAGCTGGTTAATCTTACTGGTTGTTAGGCTTGTAATTGCTTTATTGGCTGATAAGTTATCCGTATCAGCTAATGTCACTAGAGACGAGCTTGTTGCTGCTGCTGCTGCCGCTGTTTCACTAGCAATCAGATTGGCGGCAGTAAGAGCCGCAGCACTAGATGGTGCTGAAGTAGTCACCGGACTTCGGCTCGTCTGTGAACTGAGTTGTCTTGAGATGTGCACATGACGTGGCGCTTCACCAGTGATACGAGCCACTTTCTGGTGCTCGGCACTGGACGGCTGTATGCCGGCCGTGGTTCGAATCAAACCGGCCGCGCTAAACAGCGCCACTGCCGGACTGAATTTCTCGTTACGAAACGCTTGTGAATAGATCATTATTACTGCTGCTGCTACGGCCGGATTTGTGATTCGAATAGACTACTGCTGATAGTAGAACTTAGTTTTGCTACGTAAAAGAACATCACAAGCAGCATAACACGCCCCAGGGCAGTGATTCTCAACAAGACTTTCGACCATACGATCAGTCGAAACAATATCAGTAACTGTAGTCGTCAAGCAAATAACCGATAACCATGAATAGAGCAACAATATGAAAGCCAACGGTTGCGATAATGGTATCAAATACGATAACGACGGCAATAGCAGCAGCAGCGTTGAGCTGTCGTTTTGTATTTGCATTCGAACACGAAACAAGTTCACTTGATTTGACTTCACTTGTTCAAGTGAACAAGCAGAATAATAACGCATCGTGATGATCATCACTGACAACAATAACAATAACAATACTAATTTCAGACAGCAGCAGTAATGTTGTCGTGTGTTCAAAATAGTAGTGAATAGTAGTCAGTGAGCAGCACTAGCCATTTAGTTCATTAGCCAAGCGAACTAGTCGAACGCTTGCTTGCACTTGCAGCTTAGCAGCAGCAGTTATTTTCTGGCTCGTAATTGTCACGCTTAATCAGTATGTAGTATGTCGGCTGCTGCCGCTGATTGTGAGTAAAATGCTCGGTGGCTCATGAATAAACAAGTTTGACTCATTAAAAAAAACAATGTCTGCCAACAGCAATAGGAGAGCAGCCAGAAAGAGCACAATAAGAGCGAGCATCAACTTTAATGCTGTGCCACCGAGCGAGTGCTTAAATAATCTAGCTTGCTTACTACTGCCAGCTTGGATTTGATGTTCTTATTGAATTCAAGCAAGAGATGTCACTAATCGAAAGAAAGCGATTATTCCATATCTATCCACTGTTCACTTCGATGATCACCGTCTCCAGTGTCACCTATCAGCATGACGAATCTTCTCAAACTATTGCAGAAGATCAACAAATTCAATAACTTCTATCAAACAGCAGCAGGAGCAGCACAAGATTAAGAAGCTAGCTGATCAATTAGTTATTCAACTCAGTCACTTCAACGAATCAATCACTCACTAGTCAGTCAAACACGCAGTTTTTTTGCGGATTAATACATCAGCAGTCAAGCAAGCAATCCAGTCTTAGGCATAAGGGCATCATAATGAAAACAGAATAATAACTGCTCTCGTAGAAGAATAACTGACACGAGTAAATAAGTAATAAAGTAAGTTTAAGGTCATCAACTGGTAACATAGCAATAAATAATAGGCAATGTTCAATTTGCTCTAGCCATCATTGTAGCAGAGTGGAATTAATGATAGAGCAGCAGCTTATTGTTATTATTGCTATTAGCATCAGTAATATTAGTATGCAGCAGACTGATGATTACAGATCGATTCGAGAGACGAACGGAGACGGATTAATGATGACGACTGAATATAGTAGGTGGTGGTGCTTTATTAATCAGTTGATGGACAAAAGTTTGCACTGCAACGCTGCTTCAAGAAGAATAAGTAAACGAAGATGATCCATCCGATGCACACTGCACAATGCAGTCCAAATACTATACTCAACAGTTTTACAGCCAATTCAACTGCAAATCTAACAAGTCAGTCGTCGGTCAATCAGACCTTCCTCCTCTGAGTGCAGTAGCAGTAGCAGCAGCAGCAGCAGCAGCACAAATTCCACTAAATGCATCTTCTCGTCGTTCTCTTGCTCGTCTAACCAATTAAAAAAGCAGCAGCAGCACCACTCTATGCATCATCTAACAGTAATCCAAATCCATTAAACCATAAACCAACCAACCAATCAACCAAATTCAAATCACACCACCAATAAGAACTCATCAATTACTCACTTCTCTTATCACTATCACTAACAGCAACAAGCACTCAGCTAACAATACCACTCAACTAAGCACTACACCCATTAACATTCTTCTCATCCTGTGCAACTACCACCACCACCACCACCAATTTAGCTGTGTATCATCCACCATATTCACCCATTTGTTACGTTCTTGATTCAGATGTACACCAATCAGCTAATGCCAACCTTCTTCTCTTGCATTCTCACTGCTAATTCTAGTTATTGTTTCAGTGACACATCTACTTGATATATGATAGCCTTATTGTTCTCCTACTGATTTGATTGATTCTGTCTCAACCAACAGCCACATCCATGCCTATTTCATTTACAACAAACTATATCCTCTAGTCAACTGATTATTCGTTACTTTGAATACACGATGCTAATTTCACTTCATTAATTTCTTTAATCACCACCATCACCAGTAATCAGCATTTACTATATTTGCAATAATAATAATATAATTCTTACTGAACTAACCAAAAAAAAACTGCCCAGATATAATCACAGAAGCATCTATCTATCTTAGTGGCCATTGATCAGTTGTTTTGACAGTGCGCAAAGAGAAGAAGTAATACGAAAAAGTAAAATAGGAAAAGCAAGGATGAATTCATGCAGTTTGTTGCATTGACTAGAGCAGACGACCGATTTGGGATGCGCAATAATGAGTGAAGCAACTCGAGCTAATGGTTAATTTCTAATGAGACTAATCACATTAGCATTACAAAACAACAACAACACATTAAAATAGATGTTCGGAAGTGTTTTGTCAAAGTAATTCTTCGAAACATCTAGCCAGCCATTGCAAGCATTCGGCACAAACTTTAACACTCAATGCTTCACTTCTTAAACAGATTATTGCATTCAAAACATCACCGCGCACCTCGAACGCCACTCCTCAAACCCTTTACTTTCAATTCAATCTCGTCTCGCACCAATTCAGCTATTCTTTCGTAGAATTCTAATGAAATCAACCAAGCAAGCAACCAAGCAAGCAAGCAATAATCCATAAACAAGCACATAAATAACTGCTGCATAAAAACCCAAATGAACTAATAAATAAGTCAGATGAATGATTACATACTAAATAATAAATCACTGACAATGTACGTACACCACACGATAAATTCTTCATATTGAAAACTAAAATTTTATAGCGCAATCCATCATCAGCATCCCATTCAATTCATCTTCTATCACTAGTAGTAGTCATAAGACTACTGCTGCCAAGCCTTATTGCCACTGCTCACCGAATTTTTCATGAGGAACAATCGACCCGACCGTAAAAAGCGGCAATGCTTGCGTTGGATTACTTGTTCATCATTTCTAAGTCCAAACTTTACATTGCAATATCTTATTTTTAAGACGAGAACATAAATACAGAAGTAAAGAATCACTGATCAAAAGAATAAAATACGATCAGCTTCAAAGCATTAATAGTCACAAAAAACAACTGCAGCTGCTCTTACTCAGTAAGTAGCTTATAAGTAGCTTCACAGAATGAACGAATTAAATCAATCTCCTCATCATCTGTCTCGCAATCCAACCGAGTTTATATTACTAATCGCTTCCTACCTATCCCAGTTTATATTTGCCATGATTTAACATTCAAAAATATTGCTGCTGCTGCAGCACCAGCACCAGCACCACTAGCAGCTGGCTGACTCTATCAAATGGTTATCATCAACGATGCCGTCCGTTATCAACAAACTTTGCACCAATAATACCTGAGCAGTCAGGGGCAAACCCTGCCCAAGCCCAGTATATACCACTCAAAACCAACTCAATCAATCAATTCATCAACCAAAATACATGCTGCCATCCGTCCAAACACATTAACGCGAGTATGCACGATGGCTGATCTTAAATAAAAAATTCTAACTTCACTCCCTAGCAATTACGCATTAGTTATTATGTATCTATCTTATATCCCCCCCCCCTTCCCTTCCAAGATCACCTCACATCACCTAAATACATGTATATCCTTTACGTGCTGCTCATTGATATATATCCTTATGAATGTCACCAAGCTAAACAACAAGCAAACTCAACTTATGAAGCCACTTAAAACAGTCCAACAAATGAGAACAACTCCATAATTACAGCTCGTTTAGCATGCCAAAAAACTGATAAATAAATCACTCCAGCCAAAGGAACGTGACAATCAATCCGCACTATCCATAACGCTAACGCTAACCGTGCCTCACTCCGCATCCTGTCACATCAAATAGCACTCATCGCTTAACTACCTCAGTAATGCACCGTGCCGCATATGAAATACAATCAGATTCTACTCAACTTAGTAATAATGCTTCCGGTTAAACGCTAACCGCTATTACATAGCTGTATGACTGCTGCCTTGCTCTACATACACAACGTGCACCACCTACTCACCTTCGAGTTGAAATGAATGAGATGAAGTAAAGTAAGGCGAATACGAAGTAAAGTAAGGCAAATACAGTAACAGTAACAATAACAATCCAATGGCTCATGTTCATGACTATACCTGCTATAAGGAAATGCTCGATATCGTTCGCAATATCAGGAATATCAGTGGCTGTATCAGCAGCAATAGTGGCTGCTGTACTTGTTATAATAACGTTCGCTGCAGTCGCATCTGCAGTAACAACCGTAGCATTATCACTAACAGTAGCACTGAAACTGCTCCTCCTAAGTGCCGCATAAATGGGCGTTACAGTGGCCGCAGTAGTGGCAAGAGTTGCACTTGTTGTGGCCGTTAGATCAGCACCGATTACGGTCACCTTACGTGACGAGGCCGCTACAGGCAGTGACTGAGCTGTGGCTGTGGAATGGCATCGACTGGCCTCTTGCAGTTGCCGTTCGCGGTCCCATTCCTTCCAGAATCGCCGTAGAAACATCCAAATGCCTTATTTTTTGCCCTTCTTTTTTAATCTCCTTCTGTTCGTCCCTTACACGAGATCTTCTCGTCTGCTCTTTACGATCTGATCAAAACATTCAACTCGTTCATCATCATCATCACAAATCATCGAACAACAACAACGAAAACGCCATCAACCCACAAACAACCACTAATCAAATTTATCCATTGCACATATCTCATTATCATTCTCAATACACTCAAATTTCATTATCAACAACCAAAAACTCAACTCATTTCTATGAATTTGCATTACGATAAACTATTCCTATTCATCGTCGTCATCATCATCATCATCACATATCATTACACGCTTCACTCAGAGACACACCTAAAGGCGTTCAACTTTAAAACACTCAATAAAACGCCGTTCTATTGATAAGTTTGACACAGCTAAGCTTGTTTAGACACAGCAGCATCACGGCTGGTTATTGGTTAGCAGTTTATTGCCATCAGCAATAAATTACTTAATTACACCAACAAATCATTTATCGGCACACGCTCCATTTCACTGATAAACTCAATAAACTGCTTTCTCATTAATTCACTAACGATAAATGTCACATCAGATAAATGCCACCATCTACTAATGCTTAGGTAAAGCAACAACGTCTAATCTTAACCAAATACTATATCATATCATATAATATAACTAATTGTTGCGCCTCAGCATTCACATAACCTTCACTCAATCACAGACTCAATTGCAAATGATAACGATTATCATGATGACAATCGCACAGAGCAGCCACAAATAAGCCAACGCCTACTAGTGCAGCCGTCCGTTCTAACGATCACCATTATAATGATGACTATAACACAAAACTTAAAACACCGATGGGAATGCAATGCTATTCTTACGGCATTTGCATCAATACAGCATAATCTCTTTAATAGCAGTCATTACCTTAACAATATTAGCTATAATAACCTTACAATTAATAATAATCACTTTAATAATAATAATAATAATAATAATAGTAATAATAATAATACCAACAATAATGCTAACAATTAAGATAAAACTAGATATGAGCAAGCTTGTTTCATCTTATATTAAACATAATATGCAATGACGCAATGCCAACAGACCAATACTGCCGCCGTTCCTCGATATTATACTTGCATGTACTTACTTCACCTAAGCCATCTACAACCACTCAATTCAAAGATTTCATATTAAAAGATTCAGCTACAGTTAATCGTCGTCACAAATCCAATATAAGAAATGAAATTAATTAAGAATAAATAATGGCCTTGGCAGCTGCAAAGCCACAGAGCCCTTCAACAAAAAACCGAACCAACAACAATAATGTCACTGCCAAAAAATGGATGCTGCCTGCATGCCTTTAAGTGCATGAATG